GGGGGGTGTGGGGAGGGGGACGGAGGCTGAATGGGGCGCTTGGGGCGTGTGGCCTTAGCTGCGCAGTCCTCCCGGGTTAGGGCGGGGTGGAAGGGGATGGAGCAGGGCGGTGCCGGTGGGCGCTGCGGCTTCTGGGGGCACAGAACTGGTAGCTCGGAGGGCGCACACGTGCGCGGGGACCTGTGTGTGGTGTTTGGAGGCGGGTGTGCGTGTGTCACGTGGACACGAGTGTGCCTCTGTGTGTGTGGGGGGGGGGTGCATTACAGGGATAAGTGGTGTGTGAGGGCTGGTTACAGGGACGTTGGCATCCCCCTCTCCCGAAGAGGGCGTGTGTGTCTTGAGGGCACCGGGGTGTGTAGAGAAAGTTATGTCCCAGGTCGCAGGACTGCACCTGGATGGGCGCAGAGGGGGTTGTCTATCTGCCGAGTGGGCGGAGGACTGCAGGAGGAGCACACAGCTTGTGTCCTTGAGGATCCCAGGGAAAATGCACCGGCTTCCCCCACAGCCCGCACTCCTTCATTCAGCACATACAGACTGTGCACCTACTATGTGGCAGACCCAGTCCTAGGCCCACAGACTCTGGTGACACCTACCTCCCCCAAGCCCACAGCAGGCAGAGGTATCAGTTTGAACCTCACTGGACTGAGTCATTCCCCTGCTCAGAATCCTCCTCTGGCCTTTGAGGCCCTTCTGGTTTCTGTCGTCCCCCGCTCCCCCTCCTGCAAGCCAGTCCCCGAGTCCCCAGCCAGGAAATGGCTCTCTGTCATGGACAGTGTGAACTTCCACCCTCTCCCCCTCTGAAATCGTTACTCAGTGTTCATGAAAGAGCTTAAACGCCACCTCTTCCAGGAAGCCATCCTGAGGCCAGGCACCGCGAATGACAGGACTTTCTCACCAGGTGTAACTCGGATGGCGGTCAGGCCCCTCTCCCATGTGGAACACCCCCCTGCAGCCACATTGGCCGCCTTGCTGTTCCTCAGACAGAGGGAGCACGGTTCCACTTCACAGTCTGTGTAGTTGCTGTTCCTCTGCCTGAAATGCCCTTCTAAGATGTCCACACTGCTTGTTCCCTCATTTCAGATTCTGTTCGATTAATGCATCAGAAAGGCCCTTCCTGACCACACCCCAGCCCCTCACTCGATTTCCCTTTCACGTTGTACTTTTCTCTATAGCAGGTACTTGACATGTCATCTGTTAATTACAGGCTTTCTTGTTTGCTTCTTCTTGCCCCCAGTAGACATTAAACTGCATGAAAGCAGGGCCTTGATCTTTTTGGTTCACTGCTTTATTTCCCAGCACATGTAGCAGTTGCTCGGTGAGTATTTGTTGCATGAATGAATGGCTCTGGATTTGCATCCAGGAGTCTGTGTCCCTGGCTGCTCCCCAGCCTCTGAGCCCCGAGTCTGAGGGTAGGTCTCCTGCCCTTCTGTCCTCCAGATTCCAAGTTCCTGGTCTGGGAGAATGGTGACCATCTATCTATATAAAAGGCTGATATGCTAAGTGTCCTTCCCTCTGTCCGTGTAATGATGTCACATAGCAACGCCCAGCTTCCTCTCCCTAGCAACGACTAGCCTCCTTGCAGTTCTTCAGCCCAGGAACACAACTTGCTTTATAACCAGTTGCAAACCCTTTACACGGTAACCAAATGTCTGTGAAGTGTTTTCCCGTGCCTCATCTCATTTGATCCTCACAGAAGTCCTGGAGTAGGTAGATAGGAGACTTGGTGGAATCCTATTTTATTTCCACTTGCCGGAAAATGGAGATGTAGAAAGCTTAGAAACTTGACCCGACTGAAAAGAAGTAAGAAATGGTGGACCTTGAAAATGACTTCAGGTTTTCTCACTGCACAGAATATAGTCAAACACTGCTGCAGTTAAATATTTTACCCTTTGTTCTCCCTGCGTGATCTACAATAATAATCCTGCTTCATGTTGATATTTACTGCTGTGTTGCTGACAATTACCTGAAAGAGAAGTTGGGGTGCTTCGCTGGGCTGGTAAAAGTTTAGCTAAATCAGAAAGCAGGTCTAATTAAGCAAGTTTATTCTATATCTATAAAACAGTGGTTCTCAACCTTCTGGCCCTTTAAATACAGTTCCTCATGTTGTGACCCAACCATAAAATTATTTTCGTTGCTACTGTTATGAATTGTAATGTAAATATCTGATATGCAGGATGGTCTTAGGCGACCCCTGTAAAAGGGTCGTTCGACCGCCAAAGGGGTCGCGACCCACAGGTTGAGAACCACTGCTATAAAGGGCTAAGTTGGCTCGCGCATGTGCGATACATATAAAGCTCTTGCTGGCACCAATCGCATGTGTGTGTTTCGATCTGTCATTGTCAGTCGTGAATTTGGTTGACACTTTATTATAGAGAAAGGGCAATAGCGATATTAAGATATTTCTTCTAATTAATTTCCCTTCAATGTGCACGAATTTGTGTACCGGGCCACTTGTATTTGCATAATAGAGATGTTCCCTCTAGTCATTGGTGTGGAGGATGGGATGGGGTTCGGTCAGGATGTGAGCCTAGAGTGGGGAGACCTGTGTGGCCAAAGCAGTTGGAAAAGAGAGTGGAGGCTGAGTCTGGGCTTTTAGAGAGAATCAACTTGGTGATCTCCCCCCGCAGTGCGGAGATCGGGAGGGAGGACTCCCAGGGGAGATGTCCGAGTTGTCCTCCGGCAACAAAGGAGCGGGAGGTGTGCTCCCGGCAGAAGGCACGGCTAGTTCAAAGGCCTGGCAGCAGCGCCCAGTCTGCCGTTCAGGAAGCCGTGAGTGGTGTGGTGCGGCCAGAGTGGAGAGTAAGTGGGGATGGGGG